GGTTAATGAAAAGAACTTGGGGCCAACTGCCCTAACTCGCCTAATATCAATCCAATACCTCCTCCACTGGATGTAGCCTGTGCCAGCTTTGGTGGTTCTGCCATTGGTTATGGGGTTTTTATTAAGCCCTAATGGAGAAGTTGTCTGCTTGCAATCCTGCTGAAGACAGGTTGTCCATTAAGGCCTATGACTGACTCCATTTATAACTTAAAACTTATAACTATAAAGTTTTCCCTTTGGGTTGGGCTTATACTTTAAGGTTGGAATATAACCTGTGGTCACCTCTTCTGAAGTTTATTATAATGAACAACTTGTTTTCTGTTTTATTCTATTCTAGAACATTCCATCTAATAGAGGACTATGACAGGCAGGCCTTATAAAAGGTTGCAATTCAGTGAGTTGTTATAAATGTTTATTGCTGTTACGGGAAATAAAACCCCCTGCATGTCAAAGGCAATCCAGCAGAAGAAGGGTTAAAGAAGAAAGCCATTTATTGAGCTGCATCATGGTATATAAAAAGGTGTGTTTTATTACAGACAATTAAAAGACTTCCTTTTTCCTGTAGTTAACCCTTATTACCAGTTCTTACAAGTGAATCATGCCAATGACATGCCTTCTTGTTGTTGGGCAATTTTTACTGCGGCACGCAAGCTTATGAAGGCTCCCATTGCTGGATTTTTCATTCTGCACATTCTAGGTGCGTTGTTGTCATGCTAACCCTCTGGCTTCAATACACTGACTAACTAAAATCAGATGTGTGCATCTAAAGCCGGGCATAGACTGTTCAAATCCCGGCTGCTTCAGCAGGGACCAGCCAAGATTCGAGCTCTGTATGGCAAGCTGAATGTACCCAAGTTGGTCGATCAACCAGCCTGTCGGATTTTACATGTGATTATTGCTAGCAGATAATATATCCATTAGCAGTAATCACTGTGCTCTCAAGGTGGGGGCAGCTCCCCCCCGCCAGCAGAACACAATGGCTTCACGGTGGGGATTCCCCTCATCATCACTAGGACTGTGTTGATGGGGAAATTGAGGGATTTTTTTTCCTGCAACCGTGGTTGCAAGAAAGAAAATCACTCTGTCTATGGCAGGCTTAAGGACGTCTAACTGTTCTCTGACTTTCCTCATCTGCATAGCTGTTGTGAGTCAGTGATTCAAAAATACTGAAGCCAGGCTCTCTTTTGGGGATATGGTGTTGCAAAAAAAAAAAATTTGTATGCACTTTATAGATAAATACACATTTTCCTACTTTTTTTTCTCCCCGCAGGGTAATAGTATATTGTGTTAGTATACATTGTATACTAGCACATTATGAGAGACTTGAATACAAAAAAGAAGAACCACAGCGCCCAGGACCACCTTCCTAACACACTCTTTAAGTGAAATGCCACTGTGCACAGGTATAAAGACCACAAAATTATCAACCTAAAAAACAGTGCAAAACACAAACTACCTCACCCCAATCAATATATGTGAACAATAATAAATAACGTATTCCTTAAATAATATTAATAAAAAACATTGCAATTTAGTATAAGTGTCACAAAAAAATATATACATATTTAAACAAAAAGTCCAGTGACACATACAAAAAGTCCAGTGACACATACAAAAAGTCCAGTGCCCCACAAAAAAACCAAAAACTTATTTTCATTAAGAATCTTCAGTGCCAATAGTGATCCTTCCACCATCCACCAGTGCAAAACCAACATGAACCGCACTCACCAGATATTTGGTGAGTATTATGCCTTTCAGGAATAATTAGGGTTCCTGGACCCCCTTTGTGACCTCCAACTATTGCCACCTCAAAGATATGGATATTCCTCCAATTGCTCCCCTCGCCAACTCCACCGGATTCCACGTTGAGAACGCCCTGTGGGTGGGGCGAAACGCATTGACGTACGTCCGGCTGGCCGTCCCAACGTCCTGCGTCATTTCCGGTGAGTGGAACGCACGCTGAGCGGTGCGTTCCAAGTGGCCATTTTGCTTAGCGGAGGAGGTTTTTCTTTGAGGTCTGTCATCCTGCTGTGTACAAGGCTGTGAGGTCCTGCTACAGGAATTGTGGAATCCGTTTTTATCTTCAATAAATGCTGCTTATTACCTTTTAAAATGTGAGTGGTCTGGCTTAAAGTTGAATATAAGTGAGAGTCATAACAGTATCACACTATTAGTTTTTTTCTTCCTGGAATCCGGTGGAGTTGGCGAGGGGAGCAATTGGAGAAATATCCATATCTTTGAGGTGGCAATAGTTGGAGGTCACAAAGGGGGTCCAGGAGCCCTAATTAATCCTGAAAGGCGTTATACGCACCAAATATCTGGTGAGTGCGGTTCATGTTGGTTTTGCACTGGTGGATGGTGGAAGGATCACTATTGGCACTGAAGATTCTTAATGAAAATAAGTATTTGTTTTTTTTTGTGGGGCACTGGACTTCTTATTGTATGTGTCACTGGACTTTTTGTTTTAATATATATATATATTTTTTTTTTTTGTGACACTTATACTAAATTGCAATGTTTTTTTATTAATATTATTTAATGAATAAGTTATTTATTATTGTTCACATATATTGATTGGGGTGAGGTAGTTTGTATTATGAGAGACTTACCTTAATACGAAGCCTGCCAGTGACGCGCTGTCACCGCCGACATGGCTAACATTTCACAAAGTCTTCCTTCCTGGTTTGCAGGCTCCAACCTTGTGAATGGCCGAGTGCGTACTGGGTGGCACTGTCTGCTCCTCCACCAGGACCTTCTCATATTGGTAAAGTTACCCTTACTCGACTCATCCGCTCTCCCTGCCCTATTACCTAAATCACCAACTAAACTCAAACAAAAACATCATATTGCACATGAATGTCCTTAGTCTAGGTCAGGGTATAGCTAGCCGTAACTAGTCACATGCAATGGAACATTTGTTTTGTAACTGTGAAGACATTTTGAAGAAATTTTCCAGAAAGTATAGGAATATGCCCCATTATTTATTTTCTACACAGATAGCACAGATAAATTTCATGCTGATGGTGATTGGATTAGATGTTGATTGTCCAAGAACAGGATGGGAGGTATGAAATGTGTGTGGAACCGCCATGATCCACTTACATAATTCCATTTATGGTCCAGATGTCTATATAGGTGTTAATTCTTTGATTTACATGGCTAAAAGTTAGGAATGTTTATCAAATTGCCAGGGTAGTGCATTGTAGTGAGGACTGCATGGAAATGCATGGCCTGGCATAGAAGGGCAAACTCTACAGGCCAAGATTTCACAGTCTCCTGCAATCAAGAACACGTGACAAACATTCTTTCAAGGACAGCAAAGTACACATTTTGGACAGAGGATAACTAGTTCGCAATGGGAGATTATCTACTGCAAACTGGAACAACCATCCCTAAACAGGGACAAAAACTGTCTTCCACTTATAATGCTGTTGGCCAACAATTCTCCTTTAGCCATGTAAATGGAGCAATTGACACCTATGTGGACTTCCTGACAAACTTTTGGTTTCATTTTAAATTTGCTTTAAATACTTCAGAATCACTGCAGTGCTCGCCAAACCATGAAACAAATCCCCCAGTGTTTCCTCTGGGAACTGTACTGAATTACTGTTAAATACACATTTGCTGCCCTTGATCCTACAGCCACTTAGGAGAACCTGGCTGAGAGGGAGTGGAGGTCTGTGGCAGGGCATTGCTTACTGACATACGCTGTTACAGTAGGGTGGGGGGCTCTGGAGTGGTGAACCTGGGGAAGCTGTTCCTCTTTCCCTTGATATTAACATAGCCCTGGTATAGATCTAGGAACTCAGCAGGGAGCTTGTTAATAGAGTCCCCGAGAAACAAACACTGTCCATCACGTCTGAGTAGATTATCCCTTTCAAAGACTTACAGAGGATATTCAACTATACTTTTTACTCTTGGCCACCAGGAACTAGGTGAGTATAAGACTACATTTTAGCCTCCAAGAATTTAAAGTATTATTTTCTAGAAAAGTTTCACTATACAACACAAGTATTCCTTTGCGTTACTTAATATTACTGTTACATGGGGACACACTCCTCAGCAGCACCCATCTTCTGCAGCTATTAAGATACAATCTAATTCTTCCTTTGGGACAGTTTTAGCAAGACTACCCACAGATATCAAGTGTTCTGAATCTTTAAACTTTAGACTTTTGATTGTTTTCCCAATATTGTATGGTTATATTGTCTCATTTGGTCCTAAGCCCCACTCCATAGAAGTCATAGTTTCCATACATTGCACCGATGATGGCCAAATAGCCTGAAATAGCTGTAAGCAGTTTGGAATGGATGACTGTATAATATTAGGCTTCGCACAATATATAGTGCACTATACATCAGCAGTTCTGAATGTGCAACTGGCCAATGGTGCATAAAGTAATGGTTTGCATGGCTCTACTCACTATTCTGAAATGAAACATTCTCTTATTTTTGGGATATGTAATGGAATTAGACATGCAAGTACCTTCTGGTTTCAGAAGGCTTTACTGTGATCCTAACTCAATTTTCTAACTTGGCTCTTGCAACAGAAAAATAAGCTGGATGGTTGTTGGGAAGACAGCAAGGAGTAAAGTCCTAAAATGCAAAGTGCAATATCCTCTAGCATCCAATCAGAATTCATTGCGTATTGGGCTGACCTCAGTAAGAAAAATATTTGGACTGTTTGCAAGATTAACATATATTTTGTGTATAGAGAAACTATAAGTATACTTATCTTCTTCATTGTTCAATGAACTTACAAAACACCATGAACTTCCAAGTAAGAGGGAACACATGGCATGATTTTGCATCCTCCTCCTTCATTCATTTCATGGTCAATTGGCCAAGACTCTTAGCAAGTAACCAAGAATCTGCCTAGCAATGGATCATGGTGGTGGGAAGTGCAGGGAAGGTAAACAGAGGATCCTTAAATTCCCTCCTTCAAAAGTAGCCTGTTACTTCTGGGCAAAGTCCACATCAAGTAAAATGCAAAGGACGCACCTGGAACCTCACACATGTGGATCTGAGAGACAATCCCTGTGTCATTTTCCTTGTGTGCCGGCCACTGATAGACGTAGAGTGAGGTGTGAGATGAGCCAGCATCAAACACTATACCAAACTGTAAAAATGAAGAAGAACACAGCTTTTTTACAGTCATTCAACCCATACAGTAATGCAGCACTGACAAATATAGTAAAATAAAAAACAAAAAATGCTTGCAAGCACAACAGTCTAACAGTCATCAAAAATAATGAAGTAACTAAACTGTATTAAATGTCGCTGCAATGCAAAAAACTAAACTGATACTCCAGACTAATCTATATAGCCTTGATTTCACTGCACACTGTGAGCTGCAGCAAGTCAGTCATCCAAATGCAGGAATGGTCTAAAATAACAAGAATGGAAAGGTTAAAAAAAAGAAAAAAGGGGATGAGAATGTTGATTGAGGGGAAAGGTGGCCAAAAAGGCAAAATATAAGCCAATAAATTTCAGTTTTTAATGTCCATTCTTTAGTTCAATATATTTTGTTCGAGAATCGCTCAATGTAAATAATTTTTATTAAAGTGTGCTAATCAATTAACCTTGTTCTATGTATCATGTGTAATCATAGATTGATATGTGGACATCCATACAAACTGTGTTGCAGTGTTACTCAATGCATGTACTTTACTGCTCCTTCTCACATTGTAAGTCTGAGTTATCCAAAAAAACACACTCCCTGTTTGGCTGATCTCAACTATTGAGATACAGTAATTGCACTGAGCCAATTAGGACTCTCTCTAGTGGGTAATCTACAAACCACTCTATTTTTTTGTCTCTTTTCAATAGAAGATATTGGGCGTGATGAGGCTGACAGGGCTGCCCACTAAGTGAATTATGTACAGTTCTGATTAACTGGCAGAACTTTTAACGGTGTATTGCCATTAACAATATTCAAGCTTAGTGATCAGATAGAGAGTGGAGACTGAGCGTTTTCCTCCTGCCTGTGGCAAACTGACATCTCTGCTATGGTAAAGTCACTTTACTGGAGCTTAAGAAAAGCTTTTAATAAGAATAAAGAACTTTTTGGAAATAGAATACTGTGACATATTCATGCAGAATTGTAAAGTGAAGTTGCATGATTTCAAAGTTGGATCCAGTGTGAACCAGGTTGTAATCAGTTTGCATGATAAATGCTGAGAATAATTTATAATGGTATAAAATGTATCATTGTACACAGGTCTAATTTTTCTGTAAACTCTCATTTTGATACCTAGAATGCTACAATGTTACTCATGTCCATAGGATATCCACTGAATGTTATTGACCATTTTTTATTGCATTTTTTAAAAGAAATATTTGGATGTCCAAGCACCAGGAAGTATGTTACAGAACAAAAGGTGCTGGAACACACAAAATGAACGTGAACACCTAAACCTCCAAGACTGTCAAAACAGAGTCAGGAATTATGGCAGGGAGATGTCACTGTATCCAAAACATGTAAAGCTCGACATAGATGGACTGAAATTTGGCCACTTCAGAAGGGATCAGCCAAATTCCAATCCATACATGACTTGTCCTTGTTGGATCAACCTCTGTCAAACAGGAATGCTGGAAAACCTTTGTCAAAGGCTGCAGCCACTGATCAGTGTATTCTGAATGTGGAGGAATCCTGCTGTCAGAATACAATGTCCCAGTGAGAGAGATTCCTCTATCCACAGGGTTTCTTTAAAGGAGGAGTATAGCCACAGATCTTTTATCTATACTTCTCCTATGGATAACAGGAGTGCAGTTAGTTCTGCACTCCTATGACCTGTGGGCTAAAGTCCTCTGTCAGCAGGGGTGGACTGACAACTCATGGGGCCCCAGAGCAATAGGGGATCATGGGGCCCCTGTGTCCTTGCTCAAACTCAAAAAAGCCTATGAAATAGGTACCAGGGGCATCTCATGGGGCCCCCTACTGACCCCGGGCCCTCGGGCAGTGCCCGAGTTTCCAAATGGTCAGTCCGCCCCTGTCTGTCAGCTTATGTCACAGAGCTATTCCAGTCTCTGAAAAGATCCCGACCATATGGTTGGGATCCACCCAGAACTCTGGACCAGCACCTAGCTCAGCCTCTCAGCAAACCGCAGAGAGCCTGAGCCAGTGCCTACTGCCCCCTCCATAGCCCAGTGCTCCAGTGAGGGGGGGCAGAGGCAGAGCAGAGAGCCAGAGACTGACAGTTCCGGCTCTCTGCTCAGAGCCAGAGCGAAGGCAGAGATTTGAGCAATCATGGTCTTTAGTCGCTCAAAAAATGGCGGTGATGTGGAGGAACAGGAACACTGCCTAGTTTGTATTTACTCCTGATGGCACTTGACATTTTTATTATATATGCAGGCTCTTCTTCCGGGTTTATAGTAACTGTCTCGCTCTCCGGAAGGACATCTGCCAGAAATATCTGTCTGAAATCTGAACTATCTCTAAGAAACACCCACAATGCTCCTGGTAAGAAGAGATATTTGTCCAAGCTTTAGGGGACATGTTTTTTTTGTTTTATTCATGGCAAGAAAGGGGTACTTTATTTGAAATGATTTAGTACTATTTGGCTTGTTACAGCAGAACTAAAGCTTCCGATCCTTTACAACCAAGGGAGCTACCATCTTAGCCTTTATCTCATCTGCAGGCGCCATAGTGCTGCACATGTGATCAATCATGGAACCAGCCATTTGATGGCTTGATAATTTGCAAGTAAAAGCAGTTGTAACAGTTATAGTTCACAGCATGCTTTGAATGCAACAATTTCGGGAAACTGTTAAATTGATTACTTAACCTGTAATGGCCTTATTAGTTTGTTATAAAATAAAACTATATTCTGGGAGAGAAAAATAGGAACCATCTTAAAAAAATAAACATTTACAGTTTTCTAATCTAGCATATGCTGATATGCATACATGTGTATTTGAGCAAAAGACTTGATGCAGAAGAGGTTATTACATACTCACATTGCCTTGCTCTCACCAACCTTTAAAATCAGACCCAGCCAGTGCCCAAAGCTGTAGCTGGGAGATCAGCTCCCCAGGTATCACCTTGCAGACACTGTCTCTGAAACCTTAGGTAGAGCAGGATAAGGAATGAAAGGTGGCAGAGCCACTGCTGTGGTTCATTGACTTGTGTGTAAATTTCAGCTTTGGCTATTGAGCTCTGTAAACAAAATTTATCAGTAGCTAAAGAGAACCTGGGAGATGTGTGAAGTGGCTGAGAGTTCTACTGACCGGACATATTTTTTTAAAAGCTTTCACTCCTGACCATAATACATAAATAAAAGAAAATAAACTGATCAGTCATACCTTTATGACTACCCACCTAATATTGTGGGTCCCCCTTTTGCCACCAAAATAGCCCTGATAGGTTGAGGCATGGACACCACTATGGGTAACTGGTGTATATGCAAAACTACAAAAAACATTTTGTAAGGATTCGTTTCACAGGGAGAGCCTTCCAGCAATTCACACCACTAGTCAACAATTTTAGGGCTTCCTGCTCAACATTATTTACCTTTGCAGTAGTTCTTTTGGTCTATTCCAGCCCAGACTGAGCTTCCCTCTGATGTTGGCCTTGTCCAAGTACCTATCAGTAATGCCAGACAGTCCGGACAAGTGCTCCTTGTGCATTTGCACACAATTGGTCTCCTGAGGGAGTACAGACTGATTGGAGACTACTGTGTTGTAAGTACCACCCACCTTTCTCCAGTCATTAATTAATGAATGCCTCTTCTCCTTTTGCCAACTACATCTTTACTCAGTGATTGACTGTGTCACAACTCCTTGCTGTACTAGATTCATATCTACTGGTATCAGTTTTGCTGATGAATTTTGCACATTATGCCCTCTTTATTTCTGCTGCTATGTATAGGGGCCAATCCTCTCTTACCTTGTCAGGTGACGGCTGATACATGTTTTGGATTTCCACCAGGCTGAGTATGAGTGCGATTACACCAGACACGGTAGAGATAACAATAAGACATGCTACTGCCAGACCCTTGCGGTTTCTACACTGCATTGACCTGGAAGAGGAAAAAATGAGGTTACAAGCCGAGCAAATGGAAAATAATGCCTTTTCCCAAAAGTAACATTGGTGCTAACTCCAAATTAGTGATATTAAACCATCAGTTCTTTAAACACTTATATTCCTTGCCTATGCTTCTGTTTAAAGCGGAGCTAAATGGTTTATACTCACCTTTCTAACAGTCCCTCGCCAGCATCTTTTCCTGTGTGCCGGATTTTCGCCATCTTCATTGCATGCGCAGGAGCTAGTCATTCTGGCACACAGGGATCGGGCTGGCCACTTCAAGCTGAGCTGCGCATGTGCAGCTCAGTTTACAGTCCAGGGATCACTGAGCAGGCAGGTAGGTTTAGATTATTGCAGAAGAGTCTTTGCATGTCTCTTCTGCAATAAAAAGCCTGCCTACTCACATTATGTAACAGTGAATTTTAGTTCCACTTTTTTTATGACCACTGTGCCTCTGGTCTCCTGGCTCAGGGTGGCTCCTTTCTCTTGTGGCACCCTTTGGAGCTATCCTTGTATGTGAGGACCAGAGTTGTGTCTCTCTACACTGTGTGCATTGAGAACAACACACAGCCCCACAGCCTAGCAAGATGCCCCCCCCCCCCCTTCTTCCTTCTCCAAGTTAGCAGACTGCACTGCCAACTCTTAACCCTTTCCTGTGAAGACAGGAAGTTCAGGAAAGCAGTCGTAAGAACATCAACCTGCAGCATTGAAAGTTGTAAATGGTGAGTGTTGAGATAAGAATTTCAAGAAATTGTTTCCTGGGGGAATTTTCATTTTATTATGCTCTATGTATTAGGTCCAATGCACACTGGGCGTTAGCCCAGGTGCATAAATGCAGGTGGAATCGGTGCAGCGCCCTGCCCAACTGATGGCAGCCTGTTAAACTTGGAGAGGGTGAAGCACAGACTTTCTAATGAGCAACAAAACCCACTTGTAATTGTACAATTGAAAAATAATAAAAAAGACTTGCCTTTATTGACATAGTGAATTGCACACAGCTGTACATGACATTTTCAGGTACTGAGATCAGCATCTCCTTTGGCCAATGAATAGATTGTTGGAAATATCTGTGTTAACTTACATGTGAACATGGAATAGTAAAGCCAAGCTTAACTACTTCGCTACCAGAGACATTTAGGCCTGATGCATAGTTAACTAACATTACAGTGCCTTGAAAAAGTATTCATACCCCTTGAAATTTTCCACATTTTGTCATGTTACAACCAAACCCGTAAATGTATTTTATCCTAGATTGTAAGCTCGACAGAGCAGGGCCCTCAAACCACTCGTATATTGTTTTGTTACTGTGTTGTCTCATGTACTGTCCCCCACTATTTTGTACAGTGCTGAGCAAACCTTTTGGCGCTATATAAATACTATATAATAATAATAATATTGGGATTTTATGTAATAGGCCACACAAAGTGGCACATAATTGTGAAGTGGAAGGAAAATGATAAATGGTTTTCAAAATGTTTTACAAATAAATCTGTGAAAAGTGCGGTGTGCATTTGTATTCAGCCCCCCCTGAGTCAATACTTTGTAGAATCACCTTTCACTGCAATTACAGCTGCAAGTCTTTTTGGGGATGTCTATCCAGCTTTGCACATCTAGAGAGGGACATTTTTGCCCATTCTTCTTTGCAAAATAGCTCAAGCTCTGTCAGATTAGATGGAGAGCGTCTGTAAACAGCAATTTTCAAGTCTTGCCACAGATTCTCATTTGGATTTAGGTCTGGACTTTGACTGGGCCATTCTAACACATGAATATGCTTTGATCTAAACCATTCCATTGTAGCTCTGGCAGTATGTTTAGGGTCGTTTTCCTGCTGGAAGGTGAGCCTCCTCCCCAGTCTCAAATCTTTGCAGACTCTAACAGGTTTTCTTCTAAGATTGCCCTGTATTTTGCTCCATCCATCTTCCCACCAACTCTGACCAGCTTCCCTGTCCCTACTGAAGAAAGGCATCCCCACAACATGATGCTGCCAACACCATGTTTCACAGTGGGGATGGCGTGTTCAGGGTGATGTGCAGTGTTAGTTCCACCACACAGCGGTTTGCTTTTAGGCCAAAAAGTTCAATTTTGGTCTCATCTGACCAGAGCACCTTCTTCCACATGTTTTCTGTGTCCCCCACATGGCTTCTGGCAAACTGCAAACGGGACTTCTTATAGCTTTCTTTCAACAATGGCTTTCTTCTTGCCACTCTTCCATAAAGGCCAAAATTGTGGAGTGCACGACTAATAGTTGTCCTGTGGGGCAGATTCTCCCACTTGAGCTATGTATCTCTGCAGCTCCTCCAGAGTTACCATGGGCCTCTTGGCTGCTTCTCTGATTAATGCTCTCCTTGCCTGGCCTTTCAGTTTAGGTGGACGGCCATGCCTTGGTAGGTTTGCAGTTGTGCCATACTCTTTCTGTTTTCGGATGATGCATTGAACAGTGCTCTGTGAGATGTTCAAAGCTTGGGATGTTTTTTTATAACCTAACCCTGCTTTAAACTTATCCAGAAATTTATCCCTGACCTGTCTGGTGTGTTCCTTGGCCTTCATGATGCTGTTTGTTCACTAATGTTCGCTAACAAACCTCTGAGGGCTTCACAGAAAATCTGCATTTATACTGAGATTTAATAATAACACACAGGTGGACTCTATTTACTAATTGGGTGACTTTTGAAGGCAATTGGTTCCACTAGATTTGAGTTAGAGGTATCAGAGTAAAGGGGACTGAATACAAATGCATGGCACACTTTTCAGATGTTTATTTGTAAACAATTTTGAAAACCATTTATCATTTTCCTTCCACTTTACAATTATGTGCCACTTTGTGTTGGTCTATCACATAAAATCCCAATAAAATACATTTACGTTTTTGGTTGTAACATGACAAAATGTGGAAAATTTCAAGGGGTATGAATACTTTTTCAAGGCACTGTATATATTTTTTGAAAGCAGAGGCCCTGGAGAATTCAGTGGTGGTAGCTGCTATTTTTTTTTTATGTCACATTATATTAGCACATGTTAATCAAATGAAAATTTTCCATTAAAAAATGCAGTAAGGTAAATTTTAGAACAAACAATATAATATCCAATTGTTTTTTTAAAATCTAAAAGATGAGTTTGTGAGTGTAAATTGAATCCTAACAGGTCAAGCATTAAACATTCTGCACACTTGTAAATCAGTGACAAAGTTTGGTACCCAAAATTGTGCATAGTTACCACTGTAAAAGCCTTCACGGGTTATTTGAGATTTAACCATGAATTATGGTCCTAGAATTATTCTCACTCTGAGGTTTGCGGTAATATGTACGTATGCTGGTGCACCAGTGGCAAAGATTATACTCCCTATCGCAAAGGGTAGAGACCCATTCAAGTGAATGAGACCATGTCACAACCTCCCTGCAACTGTGTATAAATGCATGCGTTTACAGCACAGTGGTGCAGCAATGTAAAGCCTACTCACTGCACCTCAGATGCCTCTGAAAAGCAATCCACATCTAATCTTAGCGTTAATGTTACATGCAGTGGGGAAAATAATTCTTTGATCCCCTGCAGATTTTGTAAGATTGCTCACTTACAAAGAAATGAAGGGTCTATACTTTTTATCATAGGTGTATTTTAAATGATAGAAACAGAATATCAACCAAAAGTCCATAAAAAACACATGATACAAATGTTATAAATTGAGTTGCAGTTCAGTGAGTAAAATATTTGATCCCCTACCAACTAACAATAATTCTGGCTCCCACAGACTGGCTATGTGCTCACGTGATGCACAGATTAGTCCTGTCAATTTAAGAAGGTGCTCCTAAGGACAACTCTGTTATGTATACAAAAGACACCTGTCCACAGAATCTCTCTCTTCCATTCAAACCACACCATCTCCATGGGCAACACCAAAGAGCTGTCAAAGGACATCATAGACAAGATTGCAGACCTGCACAAGGCTAGAATGGGCTACAAGACCATCAGAAAGTTGCTTGGTGAGAAGGAGACAACTTTTGGAGCAATTGTTCGCAAATGGAAGAAATACAAAATAATCATCAAATTGCCGTCGGAGTGGAGCTCCATGCAAGATTTCGTCTCATTGGGTAAGAATGATCCTGAGAAAAGTGAGGGATCAACCCAGAACTACACGGCAGGAGCTTGTGAATGATCTCAAGGTAGTTTGGACCACAGTAACCAAACAACCATTGGTAACACAATACGCCGCCATGGATTGAAATGCTGCAGTGCCCGCAAGGTCCGCAACTTCAAGAAAGCACATGTACAGGTCCATCTGAAGTTTGCCAATGAACATCTAAATGATTCAGAGAAAGATTGGGAGAAAGTGCTGTGGTCAGATGAGACCAAAATTGAGCTCTTTGGCATTAATTCAACTTTCTGTGTTTGGAGGAAGAATGCTGACTGTGACCCTAAGAACACCATCCCTACAATCAAGCACAAAGGTGGTAACATTATTCTTTGAGGCTGTTTCTCTACTAAAGTTCAGGCTGACTTTGCCGCATTGGGGGGCCAAAGAATGGGGCCATGTATTGTAAAATCTTGGATGAGAACCTTCTTCCCCCAGCCAGAACACTGATGATGGGTTGTGGATGGGTCTTCCAGCACGATAATGACCCAAAACATACCACCAAGGCAACAAAGGAGTGGCTCAGGAAGAAGCACATTAAGGTCATGGAGTCTCCAGTCCAGTCTCCAGACCTTAATACTATAGAAAATTTATGGAGGGAGCTGAAACTTTGAGTTGCCAAGCGACAGCCAAGAAACCTTAAGGATTTAGAGAAGATCTGTAAAGAAGAGTGGAGTAAAATCCCTCTCCTGAGATGTGTGCAAACCTGGTAACTAACTACAAGAAACGTGCCTCTGTACTTGCCAACAATGGTTTCTCC